TGTGGGAATTATAAGAATTATGAGAATTACAACTATACAAATTATAAGAATTATAAGAGTTGTAACTGTAAAAATTACAAGAATTATAATTATAAAAATTATAAGAATTATAGCTATAAAAATTATAAGATTTATAACTACAAAAATTATAAGAATTATAATTATAAAAATTAGAAAAATTATAGTTATGAAAATTACAAGAATTATAAGAATTATAACTATAAAAATGATCAGAATTATAGCTATAAAAATTATAACTATAAAAATTAGAATTGTAACTATAAAAATTATAAGAATTATAGCTGTAAAAATTATAAGAATTATAAGAATTATAGGAAATAAGAATTTATTGACATTTCAGTCTTATTCCTCATCTCGCATGTTACCAATCACAGAGAACAAGGAAACTATACTTATTTCTCACCGTTCCACCAATTAAATCATTCGTTCCCAGCAGAGTGCTCTAAAACGAAAGTTTCACCTCAAAACTGCCGACATTCGGCTTAATTTCATTCACTTTCAACACAAAACAAAATAAATCAAGATTCAGTTAACGGTATCAACGTCGAATGAATTCTTCAAGAGATTCGCAACAGTATATTTATTGGATCGGGAATGTTTGGCGGTTATACAGGGTGGAAACTATAAAGCGTTACAGTCGTATCTCCAAAAACATTGATACTCAAAACTGTTTCAGAAAGTTCAACACCGAGGACATCACGTGACCATTATTCTTCCGGGACGCTCCAAGTTGAAGCGAAGGTCGACTTTCTTTCACACGGAACGACACGTTTCTCATCCACCGTCGAACAGTGCGTTCCAAGACAAATTCAACGACCTGTGGCTCAAGGTCATCCAAGGTCACTTGCAGGGAAACGGAGAGGTGCGATCGTTTCGTTTGTATTTTACGCGTTCGAAACGATCACTCACTTCGACGCACTCAACAATTCTCAACGGTTCTCCAACTTCGCTCAACGTTTCAACGTTCATCTCAGCGCGAGCCTCGCGTGTTCCGACTTTCGCGTTCTCATCTTAGCGCGAACGGTAACGAAAGTGAACCGACCATCTTGCAGAAGAGCACGGTGACACGTGAACACGTTCGTTTTCGTTTCATTGATAACGACTTCGACATTGCCCGAGTAACGCCGACATCGACACACGTAGCGTTTTGCTGTGAACGTTCGGAGGCGCGAACCAGTGTACAAATAAAACGATCACGCTTCGTTTCCCTGCGAGTTCGACCTTGAGTGACCTCGAGTCATTCGTTGAATTCGTGAAACGCGTTTGGTGGATAAGAAACGTGTTTCATTTGAAAGAAAGACTTTTTCTGTAACGCTTTACAGTTTCTGCTCTGTGCAACGGAGCGGCGACAAACAAAGAGCGGTTCATCGTTCATGTTCTTTATTTATACGTCGTTCGTACATATCTCATTTATTCTCAGTAATAGTGCTGCACGCGCTTACTTCCACCATTCTCTTTCATTTACCTTATTTGTCATACGGAGCGTCATACGAGAGTCTTTCGCCGAAGATGCGCGTTCCATCGAGTGTGTGTTTGTCTGTGTGTATGTATGTATGTGTGTTTTGTGTGTGTTTATCGCCTTAATAAAACGTTCCTCCGCTACGCTTCTTTAACTTATCATCGTTATTATCGTTTATAGAAAAAATAAGTCTTTAAATAATCACATAAGAGTCGTCGAGCCGTCGAGAACCGCGGGGAAAATGCCGGATCAACGGGGGTTGGCGGTGGGAAATGAGAATATGCTTTTGTATGCGTATTATACACGCGTACGTGTACTTGACATGCACATGTTGATGATCCGTGTACGTGTTTTCACCCTTCAACACTTAGGCGACCGATGGACCCTCCATTTACGCGATGAGCGTTTGGCAAGCGAAATGTTCAACCCTTTGCGGACTGAGACGTTTCCGAGATGAAATTTTCGTATTTGGAAGAAGTTGCAAACGAATTTAATTACTCGAGCAAGAGATCATCGCGAAATTTCCTTTTTATATTAATTAAGCTTTTGATGTATAATTCAGCTTCGTCTGAAGGTCTTGTATATTTCAAAGAATCTTCGTCCACAAAGGGTTGACACTAGGTTTACATTTGTTGTAGTTTATTTTATTGTTCCTGGGAAGTTGATATTTGTTTATTTAAATTCTGGAAATTGTAGATGTAGAACTACGATCAGGATTCGTGTTCGTGTAATTGGAGCAACGGAAACCGATTGAAACGCTTAGCAAATAATGTCTGTAAAGTTCGATAACAGTCAAATTGACGCGTTTCGTAAACCTAGTGTTGAAATGTTGCTTCTTTTGAGTATGTGGGATATTTTTGAAAGTTTTGGTTTTTGTACTGATAGGCAAATGAGATTTTGTTTTGTTTGAAATTTTTCTTTTGAGTTATGTGGGATATTTTTAAAAGTTTTGGGTTTTGTACTGATAGGCAAATAAGATGATAATTCTATGGGGTTTTTGGAAATAGAAGATCGGTATAGGTGGAATCTCCTTTATCTGAGAATGAAGTCATTTGAGGAATTTAGTTTGGTTTGTATAAGAATGTTTAAATTGTGAATAGTTCAAGATTTGGTGAATGATGAAGGGAAGAAATAATGAAAGGCAATGTGTTGCTGAGTGAAAGTTGTCTACTTGAAGACTTACTAAATGATGAAATATTTTTCTTTGTGAATAGAGTGAAAGGCAATGTGTTGCTAAGTGGAGATCTCCCAATTTGGAAAATATTAAAATAGGATTATTATCCACTTCAAAATTTACTAAATGACAAAAGAAGAGTTTATCTAATAGAATAAAAGGCAATATGTTGCTAAGTGAACAATGGGAGATCTCCCAATTTGAGAAATATTGAGATAGGATTATTATTCTTCAAAATTTACTAAATGACAAAATACTTCGTTTTATAAATAGAATGAAAGGCAATATGTTGCTAAGTGGAGATCTCCCAATTTGGGAAATGTTGAAATAGGATTATCCACTTCAATACTTCCTAAACAAAAGACTCCTTTATAAACAGAATAAAAGGCAACACATTGCTAAGTGAAAATTATCCACTTCAATACTTCCTGAACAAAAGACTTCTTTATAGACAGAATAAAAAGCAACACATTGCTAAGTGAAAAGTGGAAGATCTTCCCATTTGAAAAAAAATGGCAAAATACTTTTCTTTATAAACAGAATAAAAGGCAACACATTGCTAAATGAAGGAGATCTCCCAATTTGAGAAATGTTGAAATAGGATCATCCACTTCAATACTTCCTAAATGACAAAAGAAAAGAAGCAGAATAAAAGGCAACACATTGCAAAGTGAATGAGATCTCCCAAATTGAGAAATATTGAAATAGGATAATCCACATCAACACTTCCCAAACAAAAGACTACAAATAGAGTCTACTACAAAAGTGAACACATTGCAAAATAAAGGAGATCCATTCGGTAGCCTAAGTGTTAATTATCCAAGGATTATCAAGAAATAGGACTATTATCCACTTCAGTACTTCCCAAACAAAAGACTACAAACAGAGTCTACTACAAAAGTGAACATTGCAAAATGAAGGAGATCCATTCGGTAGCCTAAGTGTCAATTATCCAAGGATAACAAAGGTCACGCCTCCGATTTCCTCCTCGAGCAACAGAATCGGTTGGCCCTATATGGTTTCGTTCGCCAGCTCCCTCGAAACAACGATGCGCACTAAGCCTAGGAAAAATCTATCTACCGAGAAGACCAGTCGTTTTCGCGTTAAAACTAAACGAGGTTACGCGTTACAGGTTCATTTACGCGTTAGGTTCATTCGATTCGATGAAAGGAGGTGGTCAACAGCCATCAGCGAGAAGGAGCACAAAGAAAATCAACGCTAAAGGCAACGCGTTTCCGCTATGCGCCTCTGGTTACTCTTTTTTCCTCGGTTTCTAAAAAAGGAGAGGAACCTCGGCCCAAGGTTTATACCCTTACATGTTCATGGGGAGGGATGGTGTTCAGGACTGATGGCTTCCTGTGGAGCAACACTGTGACTGCTATGGGAATTTATAGATTTTTAACATTTTCAATGGAAACATTTGATAGTGAATTGAGAAACAAAGCTGTATAAATGTTTCACAAATTGCATTATATGGAATTTAATGTTCTATGACACTGCCATGGGAATTCCTAACATTTTGACTGCCACAAGAATTTCTAGACTTTTAGCAACATTTTCAATGGAAACATTTGATAGTGAATTAAGAAACAAAGCTGTGTAAATGTTTCACAAATTGCATTGTAGGAAATTTAATATATGACACTGCCATGGGAATTTATAGATTTTTAGCAACATTTTCAATGGAAACATTTGATAGTGAATTGAGAAACAAAGTTGTATAAATGTTTCACATATTGATGCATTGTATGGAATTTAATATTGTATAACACTGCCATCAGAATTTCTAACATTTTGGTAATGTTCTTTGCCTTTGCAAGCAAGATTTTCAATGGAAGCATTTGACAGTAAATTAACAGAGCTGTTTTATAAATGTTTCACATATTGATGTATTGTATGAAATTTAATACTAAAACTACCATAGGAGAATGACCCATTCCTGATTTTGTTTTTTTGTAATTATGAAGATAATAGATCTGAGAAATCATTTGAAAAATTGATTTAGCAATATCCAAATTAAAGCTTCAGTAGATGCACCATTGGAGTTTCCATAGAGGAATTTCAAAAAGTCAATTTAACTGTTTGATAGTTTTAGTGTTAATATTATGTAACACTGTCATGGGAATTTCTAACGTTTTGGTAATGTTCTTTAACCCTTTGCAAGCAAGATTTTCAATAGAAAGATTCAACAGTTTTGTGTGAGATTATTTGAAATGAGAAATATGTTAATTAAGGAATAGAGCTGTTTTATAGAAATGCTTCGCATACTGATGCATCATATGAAATTTAATATTGTATATAGCGCTTTGTAATTGTGTTGTGTCGAATCAATTGGTGACTCAAGATCTGAAGACACTGTTTGGCTTTATATAAGAAAATTGTAAACTTTAACACGTTCTATATGAATGCTATAGCATTTATTTTTATTGTGATGTAAAATGACATGGATGTTATAGCATTCATTTTCATTATGATGCAAGATGACGTCAATGCTATAACATTGAAATAAGCCACATTCTCATGAATTTAATTCTACACAACCTTCACTTTTTGAGATTATTATGCATTTTAACTCTTGGAGAACTGAATTTGCATTTTTTCTATTTCTACAGCTCATTACAATTTTTACTGTCCATGAACGTGTTAAGAGACTGAAAACCATGAATATTTATTATTTCTTTTTCAAAATTGTTCTTGAAAGTGTTGTGGAAATGAATTATCAAAGTATTGAACATGTTCGTAGTGCAAAGGGTTAACAGAACTAATTCAGTAACAGCAAAATTGAAATGCTCAATTGAAATCTCAATAAACGCACACTTATGGTTTCTATAAAGAAATTTGTAACAGTAGTTCCAGTGTTGACACGTTGAATGCCATGGGGTCACCAGTGACCCATTGGTAAGCGTGCAAAACAATAATTCCAATTTTGCTGGGTGAAATTGCTTGGCATTCAACGTGTTAATAACAAAGGCAAATGATATTGAAAATAATTACTGATTTAACATTACCACAGTCATTACTATAACCTAGCTACTTATGTTACTAAATATTCTTACTCAAAATCAAGTTTTCCATTGCAATCGTTCAGCAATCTGGCAGTTAAAGTGTTGAACAGTCGAATTTACACAGAAATTTCAGTGACGTAAGGAATGAAACAAACAAATTGGAATTCTCAAAGGAAACCTATCGCCATTTGCGAACAATAAAGGGTTGTTTCGCCTTGAACGACCAAAGGTGCAGTGAACTATTAAGTGCCACGCTCGTGCATCGTGCTAATCGCCCTTGTAGTGTGTGGCAAGTTATTGTACGATGTTGAGCAATGTCTGAATGAACTTCTCCATAAGATTACAGCTTTTCGAATGCAACAGGACTTCTATACAATGTTAATTACCAACCCTTTGCACTCATAGCATTCAACGTTGCTCAAAATGTTCCCTGAAAGGGGATTTCAGAGTGCAAAGGGTTAATGATAGAAACGATGGTTCTCCATGGTAGAAATTTGGGCGAGAATCTTTGCCTCCTCTTTTAGAAACCTGAACGCGGGATCAGGAATCCTGGGATTCCTTCGTTTGGCCGTTTACTGTTGTATGCACCATTCAGATCCATAGTCAAATTCGGTTACTTCTTGTTCGTTCGCTCATTGTCGTCGTCGTCGTCATCGTCGAAGCTCGTGTCGTCGGGACGGGACTGACCGGGGAAACAACGTCACAAAGGGGGTGGAATGGAGAACTCTTTCCGCACGTAGAACAAAATGTAGGGTTTACACTTGGCGACTGCGTCTGTGGTCGCTGGCCGTACCGAGCTGTCGTTAAAGTGAAACCATTGTCCGTCGTGAACAGCGAAGGCAGTGTAGTGTCCAGTACCAGCACTGAAAGAATGAGAGGATCGTCAGAATTGTTTCTAAATTGTGGCCTACTTACAATTCTCCGTACTTGTAGTATGTAATAAACGACAACTACAACTAGCAAGGACACTAAGCAAATTCTAGATAGATAGAGTAACATTATAAACATTGCGTGAGTCACAGGATCATTAAGAATGTGAGATTTATGTTTAAGAGGTTATGACAACATCAGGACCGCACAGACACTGGCCCGTTAACTGAGGAGAAAGGTAGAATAACATACCCCGAACCGTGATGCACGATAACGGCAGCCAAGTCATAGAGATGACTGTTCGAACTGCCCAGTTTTGTTCCGCTGACACCACGTACAGTGAATGCAGACATGTCGAGAGATTTCATGGGAAAGTCCACTTGCGTGTCCACCTTCGAACGGTAAGAATTGCACCACCTAAATCTCTTAATGTGAAGGCACAACACCTGAAACCGAGTGCCATCGTCAGGCGTAATTCAAACAGTGCTGGTAATACGGTCGAGCCCTTTCTACTGATAAATCTGATGCTAACATTAGGCAGCCTGTGTATCCAGAATCTCTTGGTGGACCTTTGCTTTCCCATGCAATTGTCGCAAAAGTAGAGTTCGCTATCAGCCAACTCCTCGACTTTGAAGAATCTTGTCAGACTGTACGTGAGACTGCAAACCTCTTCTTGTTCTTTCGTCCGTCTTTGCAGTCTGTCCGGTATGTCCAATGAGAGATCCTGGAAGGGCTCGTGCGTCTTGGAATCTGTTCGGCAGTTCATGCAATGGACCTGCGCGAGGAAACGCGATCCATAATTCGTCCGCGCTTCTCCCAAGAAGAAAATGAATAAAATGACTTTCCAACAGAATGATCACTTGAAAAAAGACACTTCTCTCGTCGTTCCATGTCAGAATAACGAAACGCAATCGGCAACATACATTAAATATATATCACCATTTCCCCCGGGAGTGACGGTCACTTACCACGCTAAGCAGTGTGCCCCCGAACACAGCCGTGACGATGCTTTGCTTGCCACGGAGACCAAGTGGCTCGTGCCCCAGCCTGGGCAACAACTGTAACAGTTCCGTGTGCAATCTGTCCAACATGTATGTGAGAAACTCGTGAGCGTCTTGCTGCTGGTAGCCCCGAAATCTTGGCACGACTTTCCATATAACAAGGAAAAGACATTCTGGTGAGATTGCTTGGCCATTCGAGCCACCGAGGTTCAGTCCTAGCAGAACTTTCCTCAGCTCTTCGGCCAGCAGGGCATCGCTCATGCTCAGCTCCTTGGCCCGACCAGGTGTCACTATGCGTCCCCTGTGTGTCGGCGACTCGTCGAAGGGTATACCCTCTAGGCATGGCATCTGCGTCAAGTACTCGCAGAAATGACTGATATTGTTGAACGATTGGAGCACGACGTTCATGAAGCAGGTGTTGCCGAGATTCCTTAGGCCGACGACCTTCTTCTCTTTGGTTATCTTGGAACTCCTACGCTTGGTCGCCGGCCGGTTGTCCCCACTCGTCCCGTCCAGAGAATGTAACCTCTTCCGCGCTGTCCTGGGCCGGAGGTTCCTCACGACTACTTCCGCTTTCCACAGGGCGTCCGCGTCGTTGTCGTTGTCGCTGTTCTCCCTCCTTGACGACGGCGTGGTAGATGGCGACGTGTTCCAATTCTCCTCGTTCTCCTTGTGCTCGTCCTTGCGGAATGTGATACGACGGATTTTCTCGATCTGCCCGTTCGTCGTATCGTTCACGACGTACTCGTCGCACATGTAACTGGAAACCAAACGGCCTGTCAATATTCCCTGTATTTTAGTGACGGTGGATAATGCGTCGTTTACCAGAATACTGCCAGGTTCTCGCAGTCTATGCAGACGCAGTGCTGACTGTCCTGCTCGTGATGCTGCAACGCGTGGCCTGAGACGTACCGTCCACAGTGCACTGCCCCACAGTACAGACACAGCCACGTGCTCTTCTCAGTGCCGCATACTATTGACAAAATTCATTATTCAATAGGTATCACAGTTCAACTATGACCAAGGTACTGCAAGTTCTGAAGGTTAATCATTGTGGAATGTTACCATCGGACAAGCTATTCCTTGTATCAAGAATTGATTTAATGCTACCCTCATTCTCAGGGACCGAATACTTAAGTCATCACAGTTTCAAGGGCCTTATTAATACTAGAACTACCAAACAGTTAAACTGACTTCTCTACGTTTCCTTATGAAACATAATTCTCTTATTAAGATTTCAGTGTAGGTAGCACAGAATCTTTAACGATTTCTCAGAGAAGCATTTGTACCTTTAGTAATTATAAAAGGAATCTGGTAGTTCTAGGGTTAAACGCATTCATCTCAGGTACAATGGAAAAGGAAAACGATGTTAATTTCAATGGGAATGTTAAACAATCAGACAATATTCCTTATACCAAGCAAATTAGACAATTGATTTAATGCTACCCTTATTCTCAGGGACCCGAATGCTGCTCAAGTCATCAAGGGTCTTAATAAACAAATTCATCTCAAATGCACAATGGAAAGGGAAAAAGGATGCTTTGGGAGTTGCTTAACACTTAGCCAACCGAATGGGGTGATCCCACTGTTCACTTAGCAATTGCCTTTTATTTTCAGTTTTCTTTCATTGTTCAGTAAGTTTTCAAGTATCATTTGTAATTCATCAAATATATTTCTTACTATAAAACAAAGTTTTTCAATTGATGCTAATGAAAGTAGTTATAGGTTCTACTTCTAGACAGTTGCCTAATTTAGACTGTCTTAAACATGGAATAATTAACACATTGAATACATGATTTTAGCAAAATATCCAACATAGAAGAAATATATTAAATCATTCGACTGAATTATTGTTATTGCATGATCTAGCTGAATGTCACAGCATCAGGTAACATTATACATATAAACATACTTTCAAACAACCATCATTACTGAATGAACTACAGTAATTTTTTATTACACTATTACTTTCATTTTATTATTATTATAATTACAGTAACTTATACTTTCAAACAACCATCATTACAGAATGAACAGTAATTCTTTACTCTACTATTACTTTCATTCTACTATTATTATGACTACAATAATTTATACTTCCAAACAACCATCATTACTGAATAAACAGTAACTTTTCATTCTACTATCATAACTAAAATAATTTATACTCCAAACAACCATCAACAGAATGATCCACAGTACTCAACGCCCCTGTGGGTCACCACTGACCCACAGCATTCAACACACCAACCATTCCAAACGTATTTCCATCAACCAGCAAGCATCGCAAAACACCCCTCCGCGATGGCGCACCATCTTTTCGGCTCGTCGCTTACGTAATCCTCGAGCGAGTGCGTAAAACCAGGGTGAATGGATGGAAGGCAGTTCGACACACCCCCTTCGCAGCCGATCGATCGCAAAATGTCTCGCACTATCGGCTCGGTATCATGCATATTTCATTCAGACACATCACCCAGCAACTCGAGCTAATTGATCATATTCCAGGCAAACTGAACAATCAACACATTCCCAAAGAGTTGCAGAATTCTCAAGGAAAACTGAAAATCGACGCATCGGTTCAGTGTAACCCGAGAAGCAACCGATTTCGCAACGGAATCTGAAATTCTACGCATCTGTAAAAATCGAGCTGGAGAATCTATCTAGAAGCAAATTCTGGATCATCTGAAGATCAATGTAGGGATGTAACTTAGCTCCCGCAGGAGTCGATGATGTCAGGTTGACGCCACACCTACGTCAAGACGCGAGTCGCGAGGAAAGCGAAAAACGTGGAGCGTGGCACTCGCAGCGAGGCATCCGATTAGCAACGACGCCGTTATCGATTTTGCTACGTCGTGCCCGACCAGCTTGCAGCGCAGGAAAGAAGCAGCGGGGAGAGGGAAGGTGTGGAGCATGGGGTTCTTTTATAGCCCACGAGGGACGATTTTTCTCTGGCCGGTAATTCTCGGCAGACGGGGATATTTAAATTGATCTCTGGATATAAGCGAGGCGAGCGAGCGAGGCGAACTCTGGACTCCGCTCTGTCCATCGAGGAATAAAATCCTCTCCGTGTGACTCATCACCGTACACTTCTGAAATGCTCTACGACTCTCTCCGCGACTATTCGTCTGCCCCCACCCCGCCCCTCGAGGCCGAGATCCCCTTGGACGCGTTTCGCGACCGCGAAGGGCCAGGATTCTGCGTTTCTTTACGTAACTCTGCGCTTCTCGCGACTGATTGACCCTTTGCACTGGGAAGCATTTTGGTGGAAGCAATTGACAGTTTCTGATTGGAGGAAGATATTTTTTGAAATTAAGTTGAAGAGAAATGAAGCTCTTTTGTATTAATAATTCATGCATTGATACATTGTACATGGTTTAATGTTAAATATCAAATTTTATGATTTTACTTCAAATCAGGTGGTGACCCTTGACTCTCAGTCACCACCTGATTTGAAGTAAAATCATAAAATTTGATATTATGGTATTTTTTAAAATTAACTTGAAGAGAAATGAAGCTTTTTTGTATCAGTAATTCACGCATTGACACATTGTACATGGTTTAATGTTAAATATAAAATTTTATGATTTTACTTCAAATCAGGTGGTGACTGAGTCATCTCTCGAGTGCAAAGAGTTAACCTTTTTTTGAAATTCTGTTTGCTGATGAGAGAGATGATGTTCTTTGACACTGGAACTACTACTATATTAGAGGAAATGACTGGTTTTGATTTTTTTGGTCAGTAATTATTATCTTTGAAGCATTGGATATTTGAAATGATTTTGATAGTTTCATTTGAGTAGTATAATGAATGTCTGGAGAAACTGGAAATAATCTATTGTTACTATTTTTAAAGGAATTGAACATTAATTGTATTAAATGCTAGTTCTAGTGTTGAAACTGAAGAGGCATCATATATTTAGGGTATTGAGGGGTTTGCCTTTTGTTTATCTTTTTTTGCTTTAATGAAAGTTTTTCAGAATTCATATTTACTGAAGAGAGAATGTATTGAGGAAGAAGCTATTTCAAATTGGGAGATCTAACACTTAGCAATGTATTGGCTTTTGTTTATCCTTTCTGTTGTTCAGTAAGTTTTCAAGTGGACTATTTGAAGTCCATCAGATACGTTTCTTGCTTTAATACAACAGAGTTTTTCAAATCAGTTGAATCAGTTCAATTGAAACTAATGAAAAAAGTCATAGTTACAGGTTCTACCTAGAAGACTAAGACAGAATAATTTCCACATTGAAGCACGATTCCATCAAACCATCCAAAATGGAAGAAACATGACAGTCAATCATTTTCCAGAACCACGGTTCATTTTTTACAAAAGTTTCCACTCAAATTCATTAATCTCATTCAATTGGATCTAACAAAAGAAGTTATAGTTACAGATTCCTAGAAGACTGTCTCAAACACAGAATAATTCCCACATTGAAGCACAATTCCATCAAACCATCCAAAATGGAAGGAACATGATATTCAATCATTTTCCAGAATGGTTCGTTTCTACAAAAGTTTCTATCCAAATTCAATCTCATTCAATTGGATCTAACAAAAAAATAATTACAGGTTCCACCTAGAAGTGTTTCAAACAATAATCCCCACACTGAAACCATCCAAAATGGAAGAACCATCATCAAACTCCTTCAACCAAACCTCCAGAAGACCTACCAGCAGTTCCCTGCAACCCGAAATCGAGTCACCTCGAAAGGGTTAACCGGCCGTCTGCCATGCGGCATCGCGTCCAAGCGTAAAGCGAAAAGACTGAGAAGAATAGCCGCGTCCGCGAGTGGCGGAGAGGTCGAAAAGGAAGCAATAAAAGTATTGCGTATTTCGGGTAAATATAGTAGAGGCC